ACTTTTTTTCCCGATCGGACATGAATTTAGTTGACAGAGACCCCTAGGTCAAAAATCAGTACAGAGGACCATTGTAATTGCGTTTTGTGTGAAACAGGGCAAATACTCGCGGCTCGATCAATAAACCGTGAACAAAGCTTTGTCCTCTCCCTAGCTGAACGATATAAAAGCAAATTGGTCGATTTGGGGTAGTGTACAGTGCTATGTAAGTAATGGAAGGGGGAGAAAAGAATGGGGCAATTGCCCTGGACGTCAAATTCTTGATGATGGTAAAACTTTAGAGGTGATATTTTTTAATAGTACTTTCTTGTATTTTACAACATTTTAAGAAGACTGGATTTCTGAAAAAATAATATTTACACATTACATATTATATATTTTACTTAAATAAAATACATATGATATTATACTCATCACATTAATTATTACAGATGTTTTTAACTATAGTAGATAGAAATTAATGAATTTCCTTTTGATGAATATTTTTGATCTCATTCTATCTTTATTATGGATAATCGTTAGCTTAGATGATCCTCAATCATATATTTACCCATAAAAAAACTTATTTTAATTGAAGTCATCTCAAAATATTATAGCAATTTTATGTGATGTACAGATTTGTGCATATAATAACGAAAATTATAATCATGTCATTATAAATATTTTTGTAATTTTGAACGACACGAATAATTAGTATATCCGTATACAGTTATATGTAGTATCGAAAAATCGATCTTCTGTTGCAAAATATATTTACAGTTAGCTCTAGTAATGTGTTATTCTAAGATACAATCAGAAAATCTTAAAAATGATATTATATAGTGTGATAATTATTTTATAAAAACATTTTCGCATACATGATGAAATTTATTTTACATATGAAAAAGAAAATGATAAAACTTGTGATCTTTATTAAAATTGTTGACCATTTAATTTTTATATTAATAGGATAAGTTTAGTTTTGAATAATGTGAAAATAAAGAATCAAATATAGATTTAAAAAATATTTTTTTTTTTCATGTGATTTTTCACAAAACAATGTAAACTATATAGCAATAGTGTGATATTTTAAAATAATGTTTTACAGGTTTACAATTTAATTTCTTTCACATGGATGATAATTATTAGAAAACGATAGATTTAGAATAATTTCTCGTTTTCACATTTTTATCAAACAAGAAATAGTTATCAAGTTTAACAGTTTATTAACCTAGAAGAATTTTAAAGCCTATTTTGCTTTTTAATTTCAACTTTATATTAACTGATGTATACCACCTGTTCACAAAACATGATACACCCATAACAACTGTCATATACAAATATAAACATCGGTTTGTTGGTTATATTTTTAATGTGTAATATATATATATATATATATATTATATATTATTATTATTATTATTAAGATACTATATATATTTTTATATAAGTCACTTAAAATGTTTCTATTATTTTCTCACAGTCAGTTACATTACGAATAAATATAATATTCAGTGTACAGCCTTTTTAATATTTGTTATTTCTAAATTATTCATAATAAATAATAGAATTTTTAAATTTTAAAATCTAATTCGTTTTCCTTATTAAATGGTCATTTGTTGGTAACTTTTCTAACAAGTAAATGTATGTATGGTTACAGGTGGTCGAAATGAAAGCATTTGTAAGCTTAAGTTTTTGTTGTAGCTCAGAAGTAATGGAAAGTATGGAAATATACGATTATTAATTAAAAAATACATACTTGTAATTATTAATTTAACATTATTTCAATCCATTATGTTAATATAATGAGTACCTAGATATATCTTATTTTAAAATGATAAAAATATTTTAAAAAGGGCAAAGTAGCTCGACCCTACTTTTAATGTACAATATTTTATAAGTTTCCGAATTTTGGAGAGATACTTGGTAATTATTGTCCAGTATTTGATATAGGTTAAATTAATATACATTTATAATGTAGGTATATTATCTGACCACATTCATATAAATAATTGGTAAATTATTTTTTAAATCCTTCATTTTTTGACATACAGGACATATTCGAGGTCCATTCAATATTTTGAATTTTGAATTTTCCTTCTATAATTATTTTTTCCCTCTTTTAAAATTATAAATTTCAGAGTACGAGAATACACAAAAATATTTTCCGATATTTATAAGAAAACATTAGTGCACCACTTTGTTTTTACATATTATATTATAAAATATAAATATGAAAATGGGCTAAAAAAAAAAAATTTTTTTGAAAGTCACATTACTTGTCAATGAGAATCCCGGCACCGTTCAATTCAAATGTACACTGAAGGTATTTATTTCCCCTTAGCCTTACTGTTGCGCTTGTAGTATATATCCCTAATTAATTAATTAATTGTCTACTCATGAAAATGATGCAAATGATCAGTCGGTACAATATGATGTCATAATATTTCAAGCTTGGAAAAAATAAAAGAAGTGGGAATTTCAAAACAAATTATTTTACTTTTTTTTTATTTTCTAAAATAAATGAAAATTGACTCGTGGATAGGGACAGATGGTACAATGTTGTTTTGGTGACAAAAACTCTTAACAGACATAAAAGCCATAAGAAAAAGAAGATATTTTAACATTGAATATTTTCAGAGGGCGGAGCATCTGTCTAATGCTATCTTATTATATAATCTGTTTCAAATATATGGTAGTTTAAAATAACTTTGAATTCGTAATTTTAACATTTTATACATTTTCGTGCATTATAATAATTATGTACGATTTGATAAGAATTAAATGATTAGAAAAAATTTCATTTAAAAATTAGGTTTTTAATTAAAAATATTTTCGTAGTGTTTCTATCACTAATTACATATTGTTCGATCTGATTTTTAGTTTTGGTGTACAAAGTCACCGATATTTATATTGATATCCAAATTGTAATTTGTCGGAATTTAAATTTGGAAACGAGACTTTTTGACCACGACACGGTGTAAAATTCAACACCGTTTAATCATTAATGTTTACGTGTGATTAAACAAATTTATCGTTTGATAATCAGGTCTTACTATGAAAAAATAAAGAGGCCCAGAAGAATAAGTTTTCGGCCGTAACACGATTGCGCCCTTCCTACGTTTTCACATGAAAAAAACATAATACGATTGCGCCCAGTTAATTAGCTCAATAGCACCCGATTGTACCTTTTTACCTGTAAAAAATGCAACATGAATGCGCCCAAAAAAGTAGCTCAATAGCGCTTTGTAAAATATAAGGTATTGCCTTTCTAACAGTTTCCAAAAATATAATTTAAAAATACAGTTGGAGTATAAAACTCAAAAAAATGTGATTCGTAGATTTTATAATTTTTTATACATATATTTGAACAAATTTTATTATTTAAAAAAAATGTAATGCGTTAGTTTTCGTGATTTTATATATTATGTATATTTGGACAAATATTATTATTTTATTGATTAACAAACAAATGCATTAATAGTTTTAAAAAGTATATGTTAATTTGTAACAATGTATCTATGAGGAACAACTTTTAACTAAGCCAAAAATTTAATTTTGCTGTCAGTTCTATGCCTGTAAAATTGGGAAGAAAAATTGTTAAAATGATAATCTAACCTAACTTAAACTTTGAGTTTTACACTCCAACTGTATTTTTAAATAGTACATTTGAAAATTGTTAGAAAGTACCTTACGTTTCACGGAGCTCTATCGAGCTACTTTGTTGGGCGCATTCATGTTGCGTTTTTTGTAGGTAAAAAGTTAAAACCGGGTGCTATCGAGATAATTACCTGGGCGCGTTATGTTTTTTTCATGTAAAAACGTAGGACGGGCGCAATTGTGTTTTACCGAAGTTTTCCCGAAATTTGGCAAAACTGAGTGCGGCCTTGCTAAGTCTTATAGATATGACGTGCCATGACCAAACCATGTTAGCGATCTCATTGAGTCTTCTTAAATCTTTTGTTGAAATGTATTGTTCGGTCCTATGACCGAATTGCGACTAATTATTCGAAAACAGTGTGTCGATGTTATGGACCGATTAGTTATTGGATACTAGTCCACGTTACACATACGTTTCCCAATGTTCTAAGGGTTTCCGAGTTTCCAGTTCGGTCCCAGTGCCCGATAGTTTGTGTTTACGAAATAACGAGTTTTCCGGAGATTGTTATTTTTTTCATTATGATTTGCAAAGCGCATAGTATTTGTGGTCATACCGCGAAAATACTGCACCCCAATACGAATATCTCGTAAAAAACGATCACACGCTCGAGTCAACGTGAAAACATTCGCATTCCAGTCGTCGTTGTCGTCGTCGTCACTGCCGTTCCGAATGCGTGTGTGGCTCATTAAACGGTATTTTTATTATTGCTGCTGCTATTATTATTATTATTTCCGTCGGGCGGATGGGTGCGAATACACGTGCAGGGTCTACGAGCGCGGTACACGTGAATACGTGCGTTTACATAATATTAGCTGGGCTCGTGTGCGCGTGTGCGTACACATTATAGGTTTGCATACACTTATGTATGTGTGTGTATGTACAAATACCGAGTGTTCGCGTACAATAGGGGTTCGAATTACATCGTTTAGCATGCCCCCTTTTATGTTAGAATTTTTTAATTGAAAGAGCATTGACGACTGCTTTCTCCCTCGCCCACCCGCTCTTCTACACTATCTTCCCTCTCACCACCCCTCGATCTGTCTATTTTCACAACTCTTCTCTTCGTCCTCATTCCACCGATCCGCACCCCTCGCGTAATGTCATATTATTATACACACACACACACACACACACACACACACACACACACACGTACATATATAAATATATAACACACACACAGCCGTGACCACGTTTTCCAAACGCGAAAATATCGCGTTATATCTCCTGTCTTCACCGCGGCCGCAGTGTCGCCCGTCCACGCATGGTCCCTGTAAAACACGACCGGCGCGCGCCGCTGTGTGCCGGCAACAGCCGTCGGCGTCGCGCGCACTCGTGGAAGGATCGGTACACCCACGACGACGTGGACGACGTCAGTATCGTTTCGGTATCGCGACCGCGCGCAACCCCGACGACCACGGACCACGCGCCCAGCACTAGGTACTGCGCCGACAACCCTCGTGTGACCGCGGACACCCGCGCGTACTCTCTGCCCCCAACTCGCTCACGGTGCCATACGTTAGGCACACGGGACCCGGCGTGATGCCCGTCCCGTCCGTCCGGTAACGTTTTTACTAGCGTTTTTTTTACCATCCAACCTCGGACCGCCCGTCCAAATTATTTGTTTGCGCACGTACCCGACACATTCGTATTTATGACGTTACCGTCAACCGTTCGACAAACGCTGCGGGTCCGCACCGACGGTAATAACATCGCGCACAAACGTTGGTGAAAAAAATAAATAAAAATAAACAAACAAAACTGTTTAAAACGTTTTCGTGGTTCGTTTCCTCTCGTGCCGTGCTTTTGCGATGGATCCGAGTAGACCGCCAATCCGGTAACCCGTCGCAAACCGGAAATCCACGTTTTCCGTGTAAGTGTAGTTTTGATAAGATCCGTGCATAATTACAATTGTGATAAACCGTTGAACGCAATACGACGATGTTGCACATGCGTAATCATGCGCACATCATCACATGTCGTACTGTTCACGTTGCAGCGTTTAATACGAGTATATTACCACGTCATTTTAACTTTTTTTCTGCGTTCGTACGCTACTTGTATAAGCCAAGAGATATTCAACGGAACCAAGTTATGCACGTCCGATGATGTGTTGGTAGTTCAGATGAATTGTAATACAATACGATCGTAAATATTATTTTTTCGACGATCGCAAAAATTTGCCTTGATGTGCATTCGTTTTTTCCGTTTACGGCTAATGTGAATAGAAACTGTTTTTCATTACGATTTAGTACACACGCCGATGTAAGAGTGTTCTATGTATTCATACGAATTCTTCAAAATAAACCAGAAATCAAATTTATGAACTGAAAATTTCATAACTGTTAATTTAATTTTAATTTGTTAAAAACAGTCATTTTATATTTAAATATTAATCCAATGCAAAATAAACGATAGTTTTATCAAATTGAATTTGCCGGCTATTTTTTTTTTCTATATGAAACGTATTTCGATGTAAAATATATATTTGTTGATCAATTTATAGATAATAACTGAAATATAAAACTTAGTTTTAATCATTGTTGGTTTAGAAAATTTGTGCTCTCAACAAAGAGATTTTCTAATGGAGGTACCTAGTATGCGTGAAATAATATGTTGCTAATAGACTAAAGTTAATTGGTGGCACATTATATTATTCGATATGAATTCAACAAACTATGTGTATAATAAGTTGATTTGCACAAGTAAATTATTAATATCACTGAATAGAGTAAAATAAAATATTTAATTGCTTTATGATCACAACATTTAGATTTTTTTTAAGTTTATTTTGTTATTCGATGTATTAAAATATCATACAATTTAATAATTTTTGCGTGAAAAATAAATGATGTGTGAAATTAAATTACGTTTAAGTAAAAAAAAAAAAAAAAAATGATTCGAAAAAGTATGTTGCAATAAACGTGACTTTGTTCTTCTAACTAACGTTTATTTAACTATTCGCCATTCATCTCAATTTATTTCAAAATTTGTAATATTTTGTATATTATATAAAGCTGACAAAAAATATATTAAAAAACTTTTTGTAATAAAAGCAAAACAAGACGTAAACGAATATTTGTGGTGGAAGTAGTGGAACTTTAAATCTAATTTAAAACTAAAATTATGCTCTAGACTCATAAACAGTAATTTTAATTAAATTTGTATTCGGACTTTAGACGACTGCATTGAATTGACGCAAAGATAATAATTTCAGTCAATTTTTATTATTTTAATGTAAAAAAAATATTAAACAACCTAATTTCAAATTATGCCTTCAATGTGATCTGTTTAAAAAATTGTATATTATATCTCAAAGAATAAATATTGTACAGTTTTCTATTTGAATAAAATGCTCTTGTGAAGTTATTCAAATAATTATTATGGTATTACTGTAAGATACTTATACAAAATACAGATAATTTATGTATTGTAGAAAAAATTAATTATGCTTGATTATGATTTTATAAAATAACAATAATACTATTAAGAACCAATAGTATTCGATTGTATTTTCGTAGAGACAAGAGATTTTATAAATGATTAGGACATCATATAGAGTTAATAAATTAGTTATTTTGAATAAATAGTTTCTTTTAATTAATCTATTGTATTGGGCGTGTTTATTTAAGATGATTTCAAACAACTATAATGATATTGATAAATTTAACAAAAACAAATTTAGATCTTGGCATTTTAAAATATCAAGTTGGAATACGAAAATTTATTAAAATTTTTTGGCAGAAAAAGAAATACAAATATGGAATAATAGACGATTCTCAAGTTTTTATAATTTAAAATTCTGTTTGAATTCGAGAAAAAATTCAAAAACCATTATTTATATATTTTCAATATTGTCAATTTTACATAATAAATGATTTTTATTTTTAGAATACACTATTTACAATACAGAACACGTAAAAATATTATTGTTAAAGTATTTGAAAAAAAAAAATTTTAAAAATGTGCTGTTTATATGAAAAATTAGTAATTTACACTTTTCCAATTAAATGTTTATTTATATTTTGTTGTTTATTTTAGGTATTGAGTGAAATGAGGAATGAATTTTGCTTTCGTATTCACATAATTTATTCTACATTTATTTACTATTTTGTTTAGAGTTTAAACAGTCTAATTAAATTGATTTTGTTTTATAATTTATTTTAATTTTTCATATCTGTATGGTATAATTAATTGTTATAGTTATTTGTGCATTTATATTTCATGTTTAATTTTTTAAATGGGAACCTAAAGTAAACATCTGGTTGTGTTAATATTTATAAATAAAAAATTAATGAAAACAAATATTAGGTTAAGTAATTACATAAAATTATATTAATTTTACTATAATTTATTAAATGAAAAATATAATAATTTATGTTTTATAACAGAATCATTTTAAAACATTAATAATCAAAATATTAATAGAATACGTCGTTGTACAAGTAGGATCTGATTATTTATTTTATTTACTACAATCATAATTACTAGTTATAATATTAAATAATAACTTACAGATTTAGTAATTATTTACATATTTATTTATAAAATATTTATATTAATTTAATAAACGTTATACAATATTTACGAGGTACTTTAATTATAAGGATATCCTATATTTAAACTAAAACTTAAAATTATTTATGTATTGCGTGATAATCAATATAAAAGTATGTTTAATATTAAATTGTTTTAAAATTATAAAATAATAAAATAACATAAAAACTAGTAAATTGTTAGTACTCGTGAATGAATACATATATATATATATATATATATATATAACTAGTTTATGTATAGAAATAAATAAATAAGTAAATGCTTAGTCTGGAGTATTATTATACTTGTAATGTGTTTTTATATTTGTAAATGTATTGTGTTAAGTATCAGAAGAGTTACACATACATAATAAAATAAAGAAAATAATTTTAATAATAAAATCTTATATCAATAAATAATAACCAAAATGTTTATATTCCTTAACACACAAGGTTTCACTTAAATTGTTTATTAGAATATATTATGTTTACGATTTTTTTTTTTTTTTATAAAATATATTAATCTAGAATTATAGTTATTATTAGCAGCATCATAGCTGATTTAGAAGCCAATACCCGATGTTCATCAGATAAATCTGGCTTCTCAATAATTGTGTATTTATGGAATTCGTTTAATGTTTTCATCTCGATCGCAAATATATATTCACGTTATATATTATATAAATATATGGTCATGTTATATAATTTAAACATTTAATAATAATATAATAATGCTTAGACATCCGTAGAAGATGTTTGCGTAATTTTGACATCAGCACGAATCATGTATTACAGTATCAAAGTTTTACACATTGCAAGTCCTCGGAGGCTAACCATAAAGATTATTTTGAAATTGGAGTTTGTATACATAGAACTGTTGGGTGTACGTGTATGATGGTCTGGTTTTGTTCATTTATTTATTTTTTCATAATATTATTACAAGGGAATCGTCTGAGAAGTTGTTTACATTGGGGTGGTCTACGCTGCTACCCTATTTTTCATGCCCTCTGGCCGGTGCATGGTCGCTATATGACACCCCCCTCTCCATTTAACGGATTATAGTTATCGTTTCACGGAGGTCAACATTTTTATCGCAAAAGAGTCTGTTGTACCGGAGGAATAAAATTGCGTAACGGAGAAAGTTATGTATATATATTTATATAAAGGTATATTATAAGAAACGAATGATGGAAGGTAGGTTTTTGCAGCCGTGGCCGAGGTAGAAGGGCAGACGCAGGTTTTCACTTGAGATCGCATACCCCTCCACATGCACGCGCCTCTTTAAAAATAATATACGATTCCGTTAATTTCGGCGGCTGCGACGGTGCGGATTTGGCCGTTTAAATTCGCGTTATCTGTGCTACGTTATAGACGACGTGCATTGCTTATCGTACGCTGTGCACGTGTACTCCGTAGTCGGCCGGAGTATTACCGTTTACGTTATTGTTGCGTATTTTTGCACCGCAGCCGCCGCACAGTGGCGTATTTAAGGAAAAACATGGTCATAACTTAAATAACATTCCAAGGTGATAATACATTATTAATATTCATTAAAGTTGCAAATTTAATTTATTTTTAGAGCAAGTTATAAATAAACTTATGATTTTGTACATTATCTTTAAAATAAGAAATACAACATACAAAAAATAAAAAATAAATAAACATTTTTTAAAAAATAAACTTCCATTCGCTAGTCGCTACTATCTGTACTGGAATTATATTCAGAATCTGAACTGGAATCGTTAATATTTTTTTCGGTGTCTAAATTATAATCAGGAGGTTGTAACAAGTCTAAAACTTCTTTAGAATAAGTTTTCAGTTCTTTTTTTGGCAGGTTTCTCATACTAGATATATATGGATCTGATGATACAAGAAGACGATTGAAAACGTCTTCCATTGTAACTTTTCTTGACATTTTACGTGAAAAGTCCTCACGATATTTTCTAAAATTCTTATTACGTGCCTCTTGCGCTTCCTCGGACAATTGACCAATAGGCAAGATACAAGACGATATAACTTCTGAACTATGAATTAAAATTTTATGTACAGCTGTAGACATTGGATACCATGGATATTTATTGACAAAGTTTTTTGCCGTATCAAGAGTAAAAATTTTGAATTTATCCACATTTATATTATAACCACTTGATATGACTAAAAGTACAACTTGAAATTGTTTTATTATACCTTCATCTATTCCAGTTATAGAAGATGATATGAAAGAATTTTCAAAAAAACTGCGTGCCGTATTTCCATCATTTGAGGAACCGAACCCAGGTTTTGGTTTATCTACTATTAGTCCTAATTGTGATTTAAATTCTTGTTGAATTCTAATTTTATTAGTTTTAATAACTTCCTTACTTTTGCTATCTAATACTCGCCATTTTTTTACATTTAATTTGTAAGCTAAATGAAGCAAACATTCAAAAAATCGTATCCAGGCATGTAATATAGATAGCCCAAAATTTAACTTTATGTTCGATTCGTCGATTCTTATACGAGTTATATTATTAATGTCATTAAAATCCTTAGATGTTGCACCACAAATGTAACATTTTAACGTGGATTTATTATCACACACTGCATTGCATACTTTTCCGTCGACCATTGTAAATAATAATTGATAATTTACTACCACTTCACGATCATTAAAAATAAAAGAAGAAGGAATCAATGATTTTATTTGATTTTCTTTGTTCTTGGTTTCAATAGTAATTACTTCTGTGGCATAACTGATTTTGACGTTTCTTTATAAGCCTTTCTATATTTTTCTGCTCGTTTAGGTGTTGTTAATGTCACATCTTTTATCACATTAGCAGCATCTAACTGGCCACTTGCACGGAGATTCATCTGAGCCGCATAAGATAATTCTAAAGAACCTACCTCGGACCTTAATAATTGAGTTTTTCTACGTTTTGTACGTTCACTACTCTTAGAGAAATCCACTTTTGGTCTTCCACCCTTAACTTTCATATCATTTGAAGAAAATGAAGAAGCTTTGTACATAGGAAAACTTATTTTAGTTTCCAACCAACCAAAATTTTTTTTTAAAAAATAATCTACGTTTCGAGATGATGCAGACCATTTGGTATTAAACTGGGAAATAAAATAAGATAAAACCTTTTTTATATCCTTCGGTAATTCATTTGGATATTTAGTAATTTCTAGTATATATTTTGTTAAGTGTTCATAATTTCCATGTGGATGTTTCGATTTTGTTGAACCTTCTTTTAAAATTGTATACAAGTCTCTTCTACTAAGAACAATATCATTACATCGAGATCCTATATAAAAAATTAATTTTTAAATAGTATAAGTTTTAAAAGAATAATTTATTTATGATTTAATATGATCCTAATAACTATAAAATATAGGTTTACGTGCAGTAAAAATAAAATAAGTAATTTATATAAAAATATTTAATAAAATTATAAATATTTTTTTTGTATATTTACAGGTTTTTAATATGATTTAATTAATTTTGACTAATATCGCAGATATTAGCAAATATTTTTTGCTTTAATATATTTGTTATAAGTATGACTATTAAAATCTGTTACAATTTTAAGTTGATCTCGCTTGATCCGGAATGTAAAATATATATAACTATACACTTTATATGATATTTAGTAACTTATATTTTATTGCTAAAATTAGTACGATAAATATAATTACCTCCAGGGATAGATTCCATCTTTTATAACTAACAAATAACGTTTATTTTTAATGTAATAAACTACTTAAATATGAAGTGTAAAACAAAATTATATTAAGGCAAAACTATAAAATACTATTTATAGTATTCACTTGTGAGTTGTGGTGAACAAATAGATTGGGTATCTACTATTCGATTTGTCATCACTAAGATTGTTTATCTAACTGAACTTTGTACTCTGATATGTAATCTTTAAATTACCGTCAATAGTTATCTTATTCAGTTATTTTTATTTATTTCGGTTTTGACCATGTTTTTCCTTAAATACGCGTCTGTGCGCCGCCGCCGACCGTCCCTCGCGTACGTTTCGTCCCATTACCCCGTGCCCAGAACCGTGCTGCGTATATAATCATCGTTCGCCGACGATCTCTTGACGTGATCGTGGACTGCGCACGATAAAAGTTGATTGCTGTTCCGTTATTCACCACGAATCAAGACATCCTTGTTCGTGGTGCTTACCGACGTCACCACCACCCAAGACGGCGGATAACGTAGTGCGATTAACGTGTAGCGGACTCGCGTAAGAACTTAACGTGTCGTCAGGACGTACGTGAGTGTAAACAGTGGAGGGTCTGGGAATTTGTTTTATGGGGGAGGGGGAGGGGCTCGACGTTTTTCGAAAAATTATAAAATACCTAAATTAAAAAAAGAAAAGAAAACCACACCTAACAGGATAAAATACACGACGTAATGGTACGTTACAGGTAAAATTATTTGACACAGTTGATGTCAATCACTCGGTTTATTGTTTATATCGTATTGGCGATAAAATACTCTAGAAAATTTATGAATTTGTTTTCAAAATCATTTTATTAGATTGTGTTATTTATTATTTTTACATTGTGACTTTTACAAAACTAATCTAGGTTCTAAACCGATTAGAGGGAAGGGGACAATGTCCCTCTGCGTCAATATGTGCGTATTTATGAGATTGTGCGCGCGCGTGTGTGTGTTACCTAATATAATATTTTCGGTGAATTTGTGCGTACTTGGAGCTGTTCTGACGATTTTTGCGGATAAGGATGCATAATGAAGCGGTTGATGGTGTCCAAAAGAGTTGAGACGGTACTTCGAAAAAATGAAAAAATAAAAATATATTGCATATATTATCTGATACACGTAACCTTAAGGATTTGCCAAACTAAACAAAAACAACTGCGTGAAATAATCAAAATTAGTTTAGTGTTTACCTTTGCTATGTTTTGCAGTCCACGTGAACCGGGTTGTGTTTTATCGAATGCTTGTGTTCGAGCCGCACATGCATCGCACCACCGGCACTTGTGCCACATGATTCGCGTGTCCAAAGAGGCTTGATATCGGTCCATCTCGATCTCTCCGTCGCCGCCGCCTATCACGATCCGGCTTCGAATCTCACCGATTATCGTGCGCGATGACATCGATGGGAGCATACAGCGGTGACTCGCTACTTTTCATTTTTCAATTCATTCTTCTTTTTTTTTGTCTTTTACTTTCTTTCTTCCCGTCGTAGTGCCGTTTTGACCTGAGTACGTTTTGAAACTTGTAGTCGCCTTTTGTTTTTCTGCTAATCAAGGTGTGTACGCCATTTCGTCGTCGTCGTTACATTCGACATAAGTGCGTCCTTGCCACCACCATAATTAATTAACGTGTGTGCGCTTTAGCCATCGCTATTCAAAACGGCGGGTACGTTCGTGTGTTGCCCGGTTTGTGTGTGCTGTTTCATCATTGCTTGTCTGAAACTCCAATTTCATGATGTCAAGTATGATGTCCATAATTTCAATCGTCGGCTGATAGTCGAATCGTTTATTATCATTATTATCATTGTAAAAAGTCTATGATCAGCGAATGAGTTTCTGGTCATTTATATTAAAAATATTTGTTAATTTATTATTATTCTGGGGCGTCTCATAAAGTCAATATTTGTATATTCTTATTATTATTATTATAATTATTAAGCGCAACGCGCGTCTAATGTATGCCTTGTTGTTGTTTTTCAATCAATCGTCGAATCGTACGATCGGTCTTCAATAAACCTATCCCGCAACCAAACGCGAGTCTTGGCGGATAACTGCCTCAGCCGTAAGAGTCGCCACGGCGTTGACAACTCGTATCACGGATAGCTGTGTACACGCTGTAGTGCTTCTGACCGTCCACGAAGAACGGTTTCGAATAATATTATTTTAATAAGCTGGCGCACGGTGACGACAACGTTGAGGCGGAGATGGTCGTATCTAACTTAAACTGTAATACAATAGATGCGACCCTGAAAATAATAGTGATTTCAAAAACAAACATCGAAACGAATTTCGTTAATAAAACTTTATTTTTATTTTCACCATTACGTTTCCATCGGCTGTATTTTTATTTTATTTCTGCAACTGTCCTGACGTGTACGTATGATGACTTGTAAAATATTGTATTACGAATATACGTTTATGTCTCATATTATTACTACTGCTCCTTTGTTTGACGTATATTTTTTTTAATAAATTTGCCTACAAAGTATAGTTTAAAATTGGTATTAAAATTTAATGATTTAATTGAGTGTTTTTATATAATTTAAATATCTGTAAAAAATTAGATTAATTTTTAATTTAGATAATTCTCTCAAAAAGATATTAGAATTTTCAGTGTCTTATTAAAAAGGCTTAAAAAATTTAATAAAGCAAAAAAAATGCAACATATTAGTGACTGAAGTTGGTTGAAGATCATTTTAAGATTGCGATAATTTGACATTAAATTCAAAATATTATATTCTTCTGCAATGAATTACAGTAACTTTTTATATTATACTCAAAATTTGTACTCATCTCATCCGTTACAATTTTAATATAACTTTTATACATTTATCTTAAATACAGCAACATTAAGTGTCAGTAATATTTTGAAATATTTGCAGATACTTTTAATGATTATTTGTTAAATTTGTTTTTAATGTTGAATAAGTTCAAGAGTAACAAGAAACCAACTCCTATCTAGAAATAGCCGTTGGAAAACGTTTCAAAGGTTTCGCCAAAATCTGATCTAAACTCTGTCTGCCCGTTTCATTATAATAACGTTATTCGAGAAGATTGCCAGCGACTTTGGTCATTTTTTATGTAAATTAAGTAATTAGTAAAGAAACGGTGAAAAAAATAAGGATGCTCATCGTTCTACATAATCCATACCAGATGTCTGTTATCCTTCTTTTCTTCTTTATTTAAATTTTACTTTGTATTTTTACAATATAGACTTTTTTTTTATATTTATAACTAATAAAATTAGGCAAAACGATTCATTTTAGTAGTTTATTAAAGTTATTTTTCATTAAAGTTTAGTTAATTGTCACTGAAAATATATTTTTTATTTGTTGTGTTGAACTAGTAAAAATTCAGTTATTTACTTCGTTAATATTCATAAAATGTATGTTTATGTTTAATTATATAAAAATAAGAAGTTGGTATAAAATAATTTGTATTTGTTGCTCACAAGGTTTTGTATTAAACATTTATGAATATTTGTATATAATAATTATAATGAATTATGAAATTATTACAAATATAAAAAATCCATACATATATATTTTAAATACGATACTACTTTTAAATTGTTACTATAAATATTATTTATTTTAAGCTTACATTTAAGTAAATTGGTTTTGTCTTTGAAAAAACGTTGTAATAGTGAAAGATCTTTAAAATATTCCTATTATAACTTATATTTTATTAAAAAAAGTCGTGTTAACAATTTTTATATTTTATTTCAGTTTTTCGTTTGAAAATCCTTAATCCAGTTTTAGTCATGGATGCTGGTAGTTCAGTTTGCGTGGCTTTGGCATTTCTCGTCAACTATAATACGTTAAAAGCTGGTTTCGTGTATGATGACAGGTAATTATTTCCATAGCAAATAATAACATAGATATTAATATTTTAGACTAAGCTAAGCTATTGGTTTTGCAATGATATAGTTTTTGTTTTTGCTTGTAAAAACGTGTTTTTGAACTAAAAAATATTTTTTAAAATTGCAAATAATTTATTATATAAATAAGACATATGTTACATTGAATATTTTGATATTTACCGTGGTATAAAGATACACTTCATGAATTATGAATATATAAATGGTGTATTATTTGATAATCTTCTCACTAACTTCAACTTGTAAAGTAAGAAGACAACTAGTTTAATTTGATTTTAGATCTATGTAAATCAATTCATCTAAAATTCCAAAATAGAATATTTTTTTGTAGGTAAATAAATTATATTTCTTATTTAATTCATTGGAAGTCTATGAAATAGTTAATTAAAATCATTTCATACATCAAAGTGTAAATGAATTCGTGAAATTAAACTATAAATAGAATAATTCATTCTAAATTCATTAATATTATAAGTATTATTTTATTTATATTATATATACATAGATATATTATATAGGTAAAATTGTTTTATTACTTTACTCATATTATTTATTTTTATATTTACTATTCATTTTATAAGTGTTATTTTATTTATAATATTAATAATTGAGTTTTTTTTTACTATCGTTTGGTTTATTGAACATTTTAGAATGAATTATTTTATTGATAGTTCAATTTCCTGAATTCAGTTACACTTTGATGTATGAAACGATTTCTTGGAATTATTTCATAGACCTCCAACGAATTAAATAAGAAATATAATTTATTTACCAACAAAAAAATATTCTGTTTTGAACTTTGAGGCGAATTGATTTATCGCATGTACAAACTAGAACGACAATAACGTGAACAGCTTATTTTATGTAATTTTTTTCTTTAACGATAAACTTTTTATTATTTCAGTTTTGTAAAATCATGTTATTGTGATGTATCCTGACGAAGTCTTTATTTATGTTATCTTTTACCTTTTATAAAGCTCAAATTGATGAAAAAAAACTATATATATTAATACATAATAAACATCGTACACGGAAACATTTACACCGTAAAAACATTTAGTCCCTTGGTCATGATGAAATACAATAATATATTGAACGTACCCCGCGGCAGTACAAATGAACGATGTTAAGAATTTCGGTACGTTCCAGTACAGCTGTCGCTGAGAAGCTGTTGAGGGGTTTACGTGAAACAATATCGCTTCAGTGTCTGAGTTAAAATATAACACTCGGTTTTATTAGACACTTAAAGACGATAATAAGAAGTTCAATGAACAAGTATTTTAATACCATATAGAATAGAGTTTTTACAACGTATGTTTATGTTCAGAATTTTTTTAATGGTCAGGATAATTTTGATCTAGAGACTATTAATTTCCGACATTCCATGGGCTAACCACCTCTTCTGATTTAAACGAGTAGGGAGTTTGAAACTTACAAAATTGTCCGTACAAATTAACTGAATTTTCTTAAATTGTTAACTTTAACTGGGAAACCATTAAAAAATTCTAGAAAATGAATAATGAAATTAATCTTGATGAAATTCTCGAAGACGTACACTTTGTGGTTCATAAGGAATTTAGTTATATTTTTATTAGACACTGTGAATATTTGGTAATAAAAATTAGTTCATTACCTTTTAAACGTAAATGAAATTAAGTTTATTTACATTAATGTAAATCATAGTAAAATTGGATATTGTTAACAGTTTGATATATAAAATAAATTATATTATTATTGTAATTATGATATATGTCTATAATAGTATTTGAAATTTATGCATCAAAATCATGATTTTATTCTGAAACGTAAAATTGTTGTCGTTTAATTTTACTGCATACGAATATTTAATAAGTTCTTGAAAAAAATAAAACTTCGTATGAAATACACGCATGAGTAATTTATATCGAGAAATGTTAATTTAATTGATATATTTTGTGGTTTTGTCAACTTTTTAAAATATATACGAATATCCATATATATTGTATAAAGTTCATGTCTCGTCATCTGTATTAAAGTATTTTTACTGTTGGAAATTATATAGAGATAAGCATATATTAGTAGTATTTATTTGTATTCATTCGAATACAAAACAGAAATGTTATATTGATGCTAATAATGATGATACAATGACTAAAGGTGAATGAAAAAATATTGTATATGTTTGGAAGATTTCAATTTTAACGAGCCATATCTTTTTAGTTGATGTCGTCAAAGTTAAAAAAAAAAAAAAGATGAGTAAAAGTAAAATAGAAAGAATAAGTAAAAATATTATTTCTACACGATAGTCGAACCCATAATGAGATCTCTAACAATAACGTACTTAAGAAAATGCCAACGAGTAAATTTATAAGTGTACGTTTCATGCAACAATCGATTTCATTCCAAACATTAATAAACGTAATAATAGTCTTATGATATTTGTGGATATACTGTTATAATATTTTGGTATTATATTTTATGTAAAATAAATAATTTGAGTTTTATAAATAATAATTTATATTATTATGCTTGACGTAGAATAAATGTAATTACTATTGCATTTTCCTATAATATTTCGTAATAAAATGATCATTTGATTATTAATAAAAATATAAAAATAAAAATATCAACTAAACATATTATTATATTATATTCTTATAAATTATAAAAAAATCGAAAAACTATGTTATTTCAAAACATTCTTTATAATAATATAATTCATTTATAAAATTAACTTGGTGCTATTATGTGTCCAAATAATTTTGATAAAATAATTCAATCTCATGTTCATATGCATAATTATTCAGCTCGTTTTTAATATTAATTAATAGGTACCGTTACACGAACTGATTTAAATATAATATAAACTGTTTAAGGATAAATAATGTTTTTAGAATTGTTTATCTGTGAAGTTTATGATGTTTGTATAATATTTGAATAGAAAGTCAGCAAATTCAATCCGCGTATTACATTTGTTTGTTTTACTGCTCATGCTACAAACTATTATTCAATTAAACTTTTCACATACTTTATAATTTTACGAAAATAGGCAAATTAATTTTTTTTTTTTTTTAATGACATTGTTGTTGTACAATGGTATATATGAATAATATGTATACTTAGGTGATTTGAAATCAGTATTTTTAAATATAATTGAATTTCGGCCAGTAATATGCTCGTATAATACTTGCATAATTAATTCATTCATTTATATTATAAACAGTACTGTATACTATTGTAATATGCATATGATTATTAAACATATGTATATAATAATAATTAACTTTAATTCATATTTATTTAAATGTTTGAACCGCGTTTTTGATTAGTATAATGTGTATTAAATTAATCATGTCTTTGTAATTTGTAATATGCATATACCTGTTTTTATTGGGTACCACGTAACAAATTAATATTATTAAAAGTAACTAACGTGTTACTTTTTTTACTTCATAAAATATAAGGTGTTTAATACATAAGCTCTTACTAATAAAATTTCAAGTTAAGTTAATTTATAAATTGAATTACGATGAATAAATCCGAACAAAAATCTTCTATTTGAGAAAATTTAAATATAAGACAGATTACGATTAATAACACTGATATATCGAATTTAAAATTAAATCAACAGCTTCGATTTTCGAATCGTTGTTTGATTAACTTATTTGCAATACTATAACTATATTTGACTGTCATTCAATGCGTTATTTACCGAAGATATTTTAAAGTGTATTATTTTAATCTATCCACAATGTTTTCCATGTTTTTGACTTGTTTTCTATTAATGCAATGTAGTATTACTTAAATCTCCAAATGTATGTCTCCTTCCTTCAAATTAATGCACACGAACATGATGCTGCACACCAGTATAAATGGAACATTTATCAAAACTGTCCATGAATTAGGCTTTCAATGGAATTTCACCTTCTAACGTACGATACGGCATATTTCGCTTTCTACAGCATATTTTAATTATAAAATATGGTGATATTTACATATCTAGTATTATTTGTGATACACACTAAAAATTATAAAACAATTATTAATTGAGCAGAACCAAAGAAAAAAAAAAATGAAATAATATCTAATTCCTATTACAGATAACTTTTTAAGTTATATAAATTCTAAAGCGTGTGGTACTGCGTGTAGTAATAATTGGTTAAATTAATATAATTATAATTAATTTGCTGATTTTTTTTGGTGAATAAATTGAATTTTGTTTCTCTATCTAACCTGGCCAATTTACCTTCGTGTTTAACTTAGAATTATATTCAATTGAAAGTTATTTTCAAATTAGCGTGACGACAGTCGATTACGGAAAATAGAAATATAAAGAAATACTGTTAAAGTATATGGGGTACTGAGGGTTTGTTGCACTCAATGATTAGCTGATTAAGTCTAAAAGTTGTAAGCATGACTATATTAGTAGAACTCATAAAACTTTATAATATGATGTGACATAAAGGTGATTAAAACAATTAACTGTAAAAATATATTAATAAAATATTTTCTATGTTAAAATAAAAAATATACATATATAATTGTTTGATAGTTGTAATTGAATTATTAATTCTCAGTAAACAAGATGCAACAATAAAAATTATACTTCATTGTTTAAGAAATTCATATCAGTTTTAGATCTTATAAAATCTGCTTATTTCGATATTTTAATGGGGCAATGTATGTTAAGAAAAAATTAAAATAAATAATTATTAGTATTTTTTTAAATAAATTGACTAATAAACGAATATCATATTAAAAAAAAATAATAAAAAATAATATATTTAATAATATAAATCAAATTATGATTTTCGTTGTAGAAACATCAATGAAAATTTGATATAAAATACATTTACGTAAATATTACTAATAAAAATTTGAAATTAATAATTAGATTTTAAGATTATAGCATTTTAGTATATATAGTTACAACAATTTCTAAGCGGTTATGAATTTAAATATTATATTTTGCTCTATTAATATTACTTTC